GGAGAGAGTGAGCACGGAAGTGAGAAAGAGAGAGAGAGAGAGAGAGAAACGCACGGGAAAGAAAAAGAAAAGGAAAGAAAAGAAAGGAAAAAGGAAAAAAGAAAAGGAAAGAAAAGAAAAATAAAAGAAAATGACATGTGTAAAATATAACAGTCCAGAAATGCGCTCATACACACTTCTGAATAAAATAAATTACTGTGAATAATTTTAATACCTTGGAATTATTTAAACTCAATTAATTAAATCAGATTAGGCACACTAATAATCTCAATTACCTTAATTAATCTCAATTAATTCTTCAGGGTGTTACATACTATGGGATGAGGCACCCATGACTAATAAATATTGCTTCCAAGAATTAGATAAAACACTTCAAGATCTAAAAAATAACTTTGAAGAACCATTTGGAGACATGATTGTTGTACTGGGTGGCGACTTCAGATAAATTTTGCCAGTAATCCCTACAACAACAAAAGAAGCCATAATAGATGCCACAATAAATAATTCCTACCTATGGCCACATTTCAAAATACTAACATTAACAAAAAATATGCGTTTAAAACGGCATAACATCACTAAAGCAGAAGAAAAAGAAATTCCAAAATTTTTAAACTGGATATTAAATGTAGGAAATGGCACTGCTGAACAAATAAAAGACCCAGAAAATGAAGATGCCATGTAGATAAAAGTACCTGAAAAATACATAATACATTATGAATCAAATCCAATTCAAAAAATATCATCATTAATTTATAAAAATTTCATTTATTATTTTAACAATTGAATATTTGAGACAAGGTGCAATAATAACCCCAAAAAATAAAACAGTTGACGATATTAATAATCATATACTATCTTTAGTACTAATTGAATTAAAATCCTATTATAGCTATGACACAATTATATCCTCATCTGAAAACATAGATGAACTTAATCTTTTATATCCTCAAGAATTTTTGCACTCTAAATTTTAACGGTATACCACCACATGAATTAAATCTTAAGATTGGAATTCATATTATGTTGTTAAGAAACCTGAATCAATCCACTGGATTATGCAACAGAACAAGGATCATTAAAACACATTTAACTAATAGAATTATCGAAGGACACGTAATAAATTCGAATAATATTAATGAAAAAGTTTATATTCCAAGAATAGAAATGAATGTACACAAATTTAAATAGTTATTTACACTAAAAAGACGACAGTTTCTTGTAAAAATTTGCTATGCGATGACAATAAACAAAAGCCAAGGACAATCCTTAAATAAAGTAGGATTATACTTAGAAAGCGAGATTTTTACCCATGGCCAATTATACGTTGCCCTATCAAGAGCAACAACCCCAGAAGGATTGTACATACTAATACACAACTCAATAAACAAGTATCCAAATCACATTAAAAATGTAGTCTACAAAAAAATTGTACAAAATATTACATAAAAATATATATAATACCATTTCCTTTACACTATCATAACAAATCTTTTGCAACTATTCATATACAGATTCAATAAATTTATTTGATCATATACTAACCATTTATACATTATCTTCAATCATTAGGAAAAATGACTACACCTATCCACATGCTAAGACCAAATGAAGTCTACAGCACTATTAGAGCAAGAGTATCCAGACTATGGACAAACAACGAATTCACTACAGGACATTTAATCAGCCTTGAGTGCATCTTAGTTGACAAAGAGGTAAAAACTTTTATAAAAACTAAATTACATATGATTCTATACAGTATCAAATATCATAATATAACTAGCTTTCCTCTCTTCCATATCTCCAGCATGAAGCAATACAAGGATCAATACGGGCACGAGATTCAGATATCATTTCTCAAAAAATACAACAAGGTGGCATATATGACATTACTAATTTTTTTGTAACACAAACTAAGCCAACATAGAAAGTGGGGCCACATAATGCAATGCTTCAATTTGCGAGAGCAACATCCTTTATCCCAGTCATCGAAGAACCGCCACCGATTCCACTCTACAAATTTTATTTTACAGAATTTGATTAGCTGTAGCAAAAAGTTAACACCACATAAATTTTAATAGGTAATGCACATTACTTACACAAATAAATCAAAACCTTCATTAATTTATTAACATATATTTATAACACCTCTTATTTATTAAATAACAGATGTTATTGGAGTCATTATAAGTGTTGAAAGTCAAACATCCAAGGCAGATCAACATCATGACGTTCCATTATAATACAAAACATATGGTAATCACATTTCACTATCTTTTATCACAACAATGTTAAAAAAATATTCAATAAAATCATAAATCTTTTCCATTACCTCAAATATCAATTCTAATCTTTTCTTATCACTCTATAGTATTAACAGACACGAAGAACTACGAGTCACTTTATGGGGACACAAAGCAGATCAATTTGATGAAAACATTATCTGATCCATTGAGCCACCAACAGTTGCAGTGTTCACTGCAGTATCAGTTAAACAATATCTAGGTATTTCACAAAAACTTTATCATAATATTTAAACACATAAGAAACATTCCTACGCCAAAATACTTATTAAATAAATATCAACATTTTAGGAAAACTATACGTTTCAAGCACAGTAGCAACAATTTTTTATATCAATCCAAACATATCAGAAACAAACACATTAAAAACCAGGTAACAAAAACAACACAAAATCTTTATAAATATATACAATCTTTTTATACAATCATTCCTACCTTCACCTAAACAGGTTCTCGTGCCAAATTTAGCAAATCGAATTCCTACCAGCATCAACAATGACAACACAGACGGTAGAAGAGCAAATTAAAGAAAACATAAGAACAATCAACGATCTAAAAACAATAGATCCAGAAACTCACCAAGTAAGTATTATTTACATAATCTTTTTCTCTTTTCTTTAATATTATTACTCAAACTAACAAATTTCCTTTATCTATTAAGGGCACCAAATTCACAGTCAAAGCTACAATAACAGGATTTGCGACAGACAAAGGATGGTATTATAATTCCTACCCCATATGTTATAGACAACTAAAACAAACAAGTCATGGTTGGTGGTGTGATAGCCACGGTCACATAAATACAATGTCATCCCCGTGGTAAGAAAAATTATCAATAAATGATTAATATAATTTATTTATCAATATTGATCACAATAAATAAATGACTATATTAATAGATTGCTATTATGCATATTATAGGTACAGATTAAATATAGAAATCACAAAGAATACCGGAAACATGAACATCATGATATTTGGCAGAGCAACACAAGCACTGGTAAAAAAATCATGCTCTACAATAACAATTGATGAAGGCTTTACTGATCCATCTATAATACCACCACAAATCAATCAACTAAGAGGGCAAATAAAGATATTCCAAATTTATTTTCAACAAAGAGCAACACAAGTATCTGCAAGTGCTTCTAAAACATTTGAAGATCCCAGACCCTCATTGCTACCACCAAAACCTCTGACAACACCAGTAATAGAGCCAAAAACACCTGATCCAAAAAAATTAACCATCAGGTACGACATATTTATACAACTGTATCAATAACCTATTAATATCATAACTTAACCTTCTAAACAAACATCTAAGCAATTCATTATTGCTGCATTTTTGAACCAAAAACAACAGAGCCATCTAGAAAATGCACAAGAACCAGGTAATATTACTATTTCTAAATCTTTCATTTTAACTTTTCTAATAATTGTAATAATTTTTTCAAAAATTTCTATTTTGCAGCTCTAGTTCTAAACAACCAGCAAAAAATGTAATATAATGTACATGCCTTTTTACTAGACCTTTCAATATATATATATATATATATATATATGCGTATGTATGTGTCTCAAGCTATTTGTATGAACCTAGATCTTTAAATAAATATATATATATGTACTTATGTTTATAAATATAAAATAATACTACAATGTAAAAACTCTTAACCTCTTCCATAATATAACAGGCTTCTGCAGCAACACGCGGGAAAAAATACTAGTAAAATCTAGAGATATATGTGCAAAAATGATTATTTTGAAAAGCACATTTTCAGTAAATGCATTTAGTTTTGTTAAATTGAAAAATTTATTTCTTATAGATTGAAGAATCGATAATTTTTACACGTGATTGAAAATTAATAAATTAGACCTACGTTGATAAATCAATGATTAACCAGTCATAATTTATCAAGATCACTCATTGCTAAAATTCTATTAACGATTTATCAAAGTCTATTCTTTCTTTTTTTTTTTTTTTTTTTTTTTTAAAATTTTTTTTTTTTTTTTTTTTTTTTTTTTTTTTTTGAATTTAACAATGCTAGGAACATTTAATTATACGATTACAAACTTTAAAAGTTCACCCACCGCAATTTTTCTAAAGTTATATTCCACTATTTTCTAGTCTTCCATTGATTTCTGGTTATATAGAATGCTCAAATTTCATTGTACATTAGGGAGTCGAAATTGCATAATTGACAGAGACTTTTCATCATTTTTTTTAAGCTGACTTAATCAATTTAAGGAATAGTCTGAAATCGACACACTCCAGTCGATCCTATTTACTTTGCGTGTCAAGTTTGATGAAAACGTACGCATACAATTGCCCTAAGCTAGCTCATCAAACATAAATAGATCATGGCACAACATATTTATTTTTTTAGTAATAAAATTCAACTTAATAATTATGTGTATTATAATTGTCCTTCTTTGTCATTTTATGTGAGGGTGTTTTTGTCATAAGAAATTATAATTTAAAGGCGAGTGTAGAGAGTAAAAAATGATGTGTGAATAGAACCACTCATGCCAAGATAAGCATGTGACAAAAGAAACAAGTTCGACTATTTCCTATGTGACCTAAATAAAAATAAAAAAGGTTGGCTCTTACCTTAGGATGTACATATACAATTGCCCTAAGCTAGCTGATCAAATATAAATAGATCGGGGCACTACATATTTATTTCTACACAAACACAAGTTTCATTTGTATTAGTTCTCTCTCATAAATAATACAATTCCCATTCTGTGTGTTTCAAAATGAAGGTATTTTACTTTTCTTTTCCTTTTCCGAAATATAAACTCGTGCATATATATTATAGAATTAAAGTTAGATTTGGTTATAACTAATATATATTCAAATGAATAAAGAAAAGATTTTTGTGTGACATGCTCCTGCTGTGCAGCAAAAGATTTTTTTGAGGGTGCAGATGAAGTGTAACAAGTGCAAGAACAAGGCCATGAAGAAAGCAGCGGTTGCACCAGGTCTTTTTAATTTTACACAACTCAACCTTTTTTTTTCACTTATTTTAATAATGAGATTCAACGTAAAGTACATAAAATCACATGGAACCAGATTAAGGAACAAGTATTTAAAAAATCAACAAATATTTTGGCAATCATGTGCGTATAAGTAATTTATTGATATGAATTAAACTTTTAGCAGGTGTGAGCTCAGTAGCGATAGATGGAGATAAGATGGTGGTGACGGGAGATGGAATCGACCCTGTTAGATTGACCATTTCACTACAGAAAAAACTTGGTTATGCCACCATCGAAAGCGTGGAAGAACTGAAAAAAGAAGAGAAGAAAGATGAAGTTAAGTTGACCTCATTAGAATCTGTCGTCTATCCACAATTTCCTGTTCGCAGCTCTTATTATATTTATGATGATTTAAACGCAAGCTTTTCCTCCATCTTCTAATTACGATGTTATTTAATGCTCGAGAAACATATAATTCATACGTATAACCACAAAAGTGGCTATTTACAAAAAAAAAAAAAAAACACTCGCACACACGCACAAATGCTTATCATAGATGTATAGAGTACATCTTCTTCCTTCTTTTTTTTTTGCTCCCCTTGGAATATTGAGTACATATTTGAGTAGTTAATAATCATGTAATATATATTGGTCTCTCTCTCCTCCACATATATATATTTTTTTTGGTTAAAAAGACTACGGTTCCGTTGGTCTTCTTGTTTTTATTATAGAAGTTAGATTTGATTATACCAAATATATATTCAAATGAATAAAGAACAAGATTTTTATGTGACGTGCTCATGTTGTGTAGCAAAAGATTGTCTTGAGGGTGCACTAGGTCTTTTTAATTTTACACAAATTAACCTTTTTTTCAATTATTTTAATAGTGAGATTCTAACATAAAGTACATAAAATCACATCGAACCAGATTAAGAATCAAGTATTTTATGGATAAGAATTAAACTCTTAACATGTGGAGCTCAGTGACGATAGATGGGAATAAGGTGGTGATGACCGGAAATGGAATCGACCCCGTTACATTGACCATTTCGCTAAAGAAAAAAACTTGGTTATGCCACCATCAAAAGCATGGAAGAAATGAAAAAAAAGAGAAGAAAGATGAAGATAAGTTGACCTCATACAGACCCTATCGTTTATCCACAATTTTCTGTCCACAGCTCTTATTATATTTATGATGATCCAGGCCCAAGCTTTCGCTCCATCTTGTGATTAACGTGTTATTTAATGCTCGAGAAACATATAGTTCATACATATAACCACAAAAATGCTTATTCACAAAAAAAAAAAAAAAAAAAAAGAGACCTACACACGGACAATGCTTATGATAGATGTATAGAGTACATCTTCTTCCTTCTTCCTTTTTTCGTTTTTTTCCCCCTTGGAATATGGATTACATCTTTGAGTAGTTAATAATCATCTAATATATTGGTCTCTCTCTCCTCCATTTTTTTTTTGTTTGGTTAAATAGACTGTAGGGGTTCCGTTGGTGTTCCTATTTTTATTTCTAGCAATACACTAATAACATTTCTTTAATATTTATGAACTGTGATCACCTTAACGGTTGCTGCTTTCCACATGAATTAGGAAATAGTAGAATAAATATTCTACTGAACATTGCCAAAGTTACACGTATTTTTCAATGTCAATACAGTCCAATGAATTTTCAGTTTCCTAGAAAATGTTCTGACTAAGACTGGTGTACTTAACCTTTCTAAGAGAGGAATTACGACGAATTGACTCAACAAGTCCCAAGATAGCTCCAAAAGCCATTAAATGCAAAATAAACAAAAGATTAGACTGTTATATATGGACTATTTTACTTTTTTTTTTTTTTAAATATGGGTGTTATGAACTATGTTTACCAGGGAGAAGAAAAATTTTTATTAATTTTTTTGTCATATTGTGGAAATATTACATATAATTAGCTAGCTAGACTAGTTAATTAATGAGATAAAACATAGTATAAAAAGAGACGGATAATATTAACAGACGGGAAAATAAGAAACACTATATTATTGTCTTGCAATACGTTGGGTTTATTAGATTCCTTTCCTTTTAAATATGCTATATATGTATGTACGTATATAGTTTTTGAGTTGTAACACAACCTATTTATTTTCTGTGATAATTTCATTCATGTAAACCCTTTTAAAGTCATTTTCAAAGTCAACTTAACATAAAATGAATGTATTATATGTACTTATACTATATATACACTACTTGCATTATATATGTATTTATAATTTGTATTATATTCATAACTTGTCATATAGTACGTATATATGCTATTTATATTAATAGCAGGAGTATTAATCCATTCTTGATCGCTTTTGTTTTGTCGGTTTGGATTTATAAGGAAAGTAATTAATTAACTAGTTAAAATTTTACCAAAAAATAACATTAATTAAATTAATATATATAAAGATGACGTGCACGTATATATAATAAAAGGACAGTATTATATAATAAAAGAGTTTTTTAGAAATTATGAAAGAATCTTGATCGGATTAAAATGCTGCAACTACTAATTAAATTAATAGGAAAAACTTCTAAACTGACCAAATCAAATCAATTAAAAATACAAACTTTTAATTTAATTTGTTTTGAGTTCATTTTAATTTGATCTCATTCTACAGTTTGTCATATCAATAATAATAATAATAATAATAATTATTATTATTTCCTGTAACACCCTAACCCTGCCCCCGGGCGAACGGTACCTTGACCAAGACTTAAACGGAAGTCATTCGTTACCTCATTCAGACCATACTAAAAGACAAAATACCAGGACAAGTCAAAAAGGGGTTACGCAGATCCATCAATTTACTAAGCTTTTTGTCAAATTCATTCCACGTTCGCAAACTCATGACAAATTGACATTCCAAGTTGACAACTTTTGTTGCTCCATGGAAACTGTCTATGATTCTAAACACGCCCTAATTATATTAATTGTGCCGTCAAGGTTTGTATTTAGAACTGATATTTATCTTGCCCTTAACTCGGGGTAAGGTACTAGACCAATAAGTTGAACCTAAACCACACGTCGCGTAATTCCTATTAAATAAGCCAAATCAACCCATGTGACGGGGTTTTGGGATGGGAGGTCCCAGCTTCAAAACCTGCAAAGAGATAAGGGGGCTTATCATGGATATATATATATATATATATGTATATATATATGTATATATATATATATGTGTATGTATATCTGTATATATATATGTGTATATATATGTATATAAGACAAGCCAAATCCAAATACTGAGAATCTTTTTACATCCCTTTGTTGAGCTCCCGTGAAAGTACGATCATATATCATACAATTATTATTATTTTGTCTTCAGTTCATGTATTATACTTGGTATGGTTAGTGTATATGCGTGACAGAGCTTTGCTAATACCAAAAGAGTGGTTCTATTAATACGACTCTTTTTAAATATGAATTATGTACAACTTCAAAATATTTTTAAATTTTCTTTCCACACACCTTTACAATTCCAAAATTACCCCTAACTATTTCAGTAGATTTTATGGATTTTTGACACTTTATTTTTCTTTTCATACCCACCATTTGATTTTAATTTGTTACTTTCCATTATCATTTTTATGTTTCTCTATTTTTGGGTTAAAACATTAGGCGTAAAGTTTTTTTTTCATTTAAAAAGAAAATTTACTATAACATCTTTTTAGAAAAATGGACATTTTAAGGAAAAAGAAGTAAGATAACTTAAAAATTAATAAAAAAAAAAGTAAATAAAAAAATGGCAACTTCAATTGAGGTATAATAAAGAAGACAATGACAAAAGAATGAGAAAAAGCAAAAAAAAAAAAAAGAAAAAAGAAAAAAGAAGGAAAAATAAAAACAATCAATTCAACTTAATTGATAAAAAATATGAGGAAAAAAAACGAAATGTGTAGAAAAAAAAACATAAGAACAAAAACCAAAAAAAAAGGAAAAAAAAAACAATTGTCATACAACAAACAACAAAAAACATTTAACATACCTTTTTGCAATGATCATTGAAAGATGGAAACTGTATGAGAATTCATGCCATGGTTCGAATTATGGTTCGTGGCTCGCTACAATATTTTCTCTCAAAAAAACACACGTAAACTGAGAATAGTTTTTAATCACGGTTCTGAATCCGTGAACCAAACGTCCTGTAACACCCTGAAGAATTAATTGAGATTAATTAAGGTAATTGAGATTATTAGTGTGCCTAATCTAGATTATTAATTGAGTTTAATTAATAAATGTTTCTGACACGTGTGAGTTTAAATAGTTCCAAGGTATTTAAATTATTCTCAGTAATTTATTTTAACCCACAAGTGTGTATGGGCGCATTTCTGGACCGCTCTTTAAAATATTGACACTTGTCCATTTTCCTCCCTTTTTCTTTTTCTTTTCTTTTCTTTCTTTTTCTTTTCCTTCCTTCCTTCCTGTGCATCTCTCTCACTCCCTCTCTCTCTTTCTCCCGTGCATCTCTCTCTCTCTCTCTCCCTCTCTCTCTCTCATTTTTTGTCCCAAATCAAAAGGATCTTGAACCAAGGAGTGATTTAAAGAAGTTTTCAACGTCAAGAGAAGGATTCGAGGTAAGATTACTGAAAAAACCTCTCTTAAATCTCAAGTTTTTGAATTTCAAAACTTATTTTTGGTTCAAACCGGATTTTGATGGTTTTTAAGTAAAACTAGAGTAGAAATTGGAGATCTTGGGTTCTTTGGACTTATTTTAGGACCTAGAACCCAGATCTAGTGGTTTTCTTTTGAAATATCTCGATTTGGGATTGGATTTGCAGGTTTTGGACTGATTTCTGTGAGCTTCTCTCGCGTAGCTGATTCCACCGGTTGATCTGTGCGGTCGACCGGATCACATGGAAATCGGTTGACCAATGCGGTCGACCGGATTGCAGGCTGACCGGTCGACCGGTCCGGTCGACCGGTGTGCACACTGCCGGTCGACCGGTAGTGTTGCACTGCTCTGTCACCGGCCGACCGGTTGACACGGGATTTGACCCTGTTTGGCCTGAAATTGCTATTTTGACCCCTGTTTTCCGGGAGAACCCAAATTAGCTTCATTTGGGGGCTTGAGATGAATGGATTAGCATCTTTAATTCTTGTTTTGAGATTGAAAACCCTTGGAATGATATTTTGAAACATGAAAAGGGATTAGGGCACACTAATAGGAAATCTTGGTTGGAAATTGAGATTTGGATTCCTTTTGCATCAGTGATCGCTGAGGATTCAGATTGAAGGGGCTTGAGGAAGCAAAAGCCGGAAAAGGCAACGCTAGTCCCAGGTTTGATAGTGCGAGGTAGGATTTCTATCCCTTTTCCTTGTGAGCCTGTTTTCAAAAGGCTTTTGGCCTTGAAAATGTTTTAAGGAAAGGGATTGGTTTGTGAAAGAAAACGTTTTGAAAACCATGGCTTGTTTAGTCATGGAACCTCATGGCTTGTCCAGTCATGGGGCCCGTGGCTTGAGTAGTTCGTGGGGTCGTATTAACGATTTCAAAATGTTAATGAATGATTTCTTAATAAAGAGATCTTGTGAACTGGTAATAGAGTCTATTGTTGTAAGCCTAGATAGGATGCGGAGAGTGCATCCGCGGGGGCAGAACCTGAAACTTGGTCCGGGTAG